CTCTACTAAAAATACAAAATTAGCTGGGTGTGGTGGCGCATGCCTGTAATCCCAGCTACTCGGGAGGCTGAGGCAGGAGAATGCTTGAACGTGGGAGGTGGAGGTTTCGGTGAGCCGAGATGGTGCCATTGCACTCCAGTGTGGACAACAACAGCGAAACTCCGTCTCAAAAAAAGAAAAAGAAAAAATACATATATGTTTTTCTTTTATATGTATTATGTATTTTTTCTTTATTTTATGTATATTTTATATATATATATGTATATATATATATAAAATTCACAATAGTCAAAAAGTGAAAACAACCCAAATGTTCATCACCTAATGAATGAATAAGTTTCAGGATATCCACCAATGGAATGTTATTCAGCAATAAAAAGGTTTGATATAATGATAGATTCTAAAAACATGGATGAACCTTGGAAATATTCAAAGTAGAATAAGACAGGTGTGAAAGACATATATTGTATGATTCCATTCATATGGAAGTCCAGAGCATGTAAAGCTATATAGAAAGTAAATTCATGGTTACATAGGCCTAGGGTGTAGTTGGGGGGCAGGGGGTGATAGCTAAAGGACAAGGTTTTTTTTTTTTTCTTTTTCGTTTTCTGAGATGGAGTCTTGCTCTGTCACCTAGGCTGGAGTGCAGTGGCACAATCTTGGCTCACTGCAACTTCCGCCTCTTGGGTTCAAGTGATCCTGCCTCAGCCTCTCATGTAGCTGGGATCGTGTGCCACCACGCCCAGCTAATTTTTGTGTTTTTAGTAGAGACGAGGTTTCACCATGTTGGCCAGGCTGGTCTCGAACTCCTCACCTCAAGTGATTCACTCACTTTGGCCTCCCAAAGTGTTGAGATTACAGGCATGAGCCACTGCACCCAGCCTAGGGGTTTTCTTTTTGGTGATAAAAATGTTCTAAAGTTTATAGTGATGATGCTTGCAAATTCTATAAGTAGACTTAATGCAGTGATGGTTGCAAATTCTATAAATATATTTAATGTGGTGATGGTTGCAAATTCTATGAAAAACCCAAATTGTACAATTTCAATGAGCATGCTTTATGAATGTCTTAATAAAGATTTTATTTAAAAAATGAGCAAACGGTAGAATGTTAACATGGCCCACATCTATGTGGTGTCTGTATTGGTTTCTATTATACGTTTTCTATGTGGTTGAAACATTCCTAATAAAATGTGCATAGTTTTTTAAAAAAGAAAACACATCAGTGGACCTGAATGCAGGATGTCTTATGAATCTCACACAGAAGCTCCCATTCCTGAGGAATGCAGGGAAAAGCAGGAGATGGGGTAGGAGTTGGCATGGCCCAGCTAGCTCAGATGACACACGATGGTCCCAGTGGCATGACTTGGTTTGTGCGATTTGTGCTTTGGGGTTTTATTTTGGTACCTTATAAAGGAGTAAAGCCTGTACACAGTCAGTTTCTGTCTAGCTAATAAAGGGCAGGGGGATGAAGCAGTTTACCTTGACTAACCTTGACTAACCATCCACTTGCATTGATTAGGAATCTTGTGATCCTGTCTTCACCTGTGAGATTTCTATGTTGTTTGTGTTTAATGTCAGAGAATATCTATTAATCGCTCATACAGTTTACGCAAATATTATATACGTGATAAACATCCCTACAACATGATCTTTGGAATGAACTAAGACAAAGGAAATTCTGAGGAGGGACCGTGGCGTGAGAGGTGGAATTCATCCTTCCGAGGACTGATTGAGGATGGAAAGTGAACCATCGGTAAATACAGCCATAGTCCGGACACATTTGCCTAAAATGAGCTCAAAGGGCACAGGTGTGCAGACAAAGCATGCTCGATGACATCATAACTCAGAATTCAGTAACCCAGTGTATCAGCTCCCTCACAAGGGATGTGCCAGGGTGAGGGCCACTGTTGAGAGTCTGTACCCAGTGATGGTCAGGGACTCAGTGACAGTGACTCTGGCAGCCCTGGCCAGATATCAGCGGATCCCCCAAGCCAGGTGACTCTCACTAACGCCGCCCAGGGCACCAAGACCTGAAAGACATCTTGGGATGCTGAAGTTAGAATCAAAGTGCAGCTACAAAAGGGCAGCCACCTGGATCAAGTCCATCCTGGTAGCTGTCGGAAAGCACAGCATGTTCACTAACGGCCTTGCTCACATTGTCAGATGGAGTTTCTCAGGAGGCCATGGCTTCTTCAGGGATCTGTCGTCCAGTGGTGAAGGGAGGAGGCGAACCCGCCCGGGGCCGCCCCAGCCGCACTGGCTCCCAGAGAATGACCTGGGTACATGAGCAGGGAGGCCAAACCCGTCTAGAGCCTCAGCACACCCCCAGCACCTGCTGTGAGCAAGCTGCGTGGCTTCCCCCAACGTGGATGTGACGATGTCATGGGTATTTACAGATTCCCTTGCACTGTGTCCCACAGTGCTCCTGGTTCATGTGTGATACTCTGCACTTGGGATGGAGGTGTGCTGACAGTCGTAAAGAGTCGAGCCTTTCTTCATTCTTTCCCGTGGCTCTGATGCGCAGTTTCCAGACACCAGTCAGGAAGGAAGTTCCTGAGATGATGGACCTTGTCCCAGTCACATTAGGCTGCTAGGACAAAGTGTCATAGACTTGGTGGGTAGGGGAGGGGCGCATATTAAGAAACGAAATGCATTTGTCAGTCTGGAGGCTGGAAGTCTGAGGTTAGGGTCCCAGCAAGGTGAGGTTCTGGCGAGGGCTCTCTTCCTGGCTTGTAGACAGCCGCCTTCTCACTGTGTCCTCATGTCAGGGAGAGAGCGAGCTCCCGGATGTCTGCTTCTTACCAGGGCCCTGATCCCATCATTAGGGCCCCACCTTCATGGTCTCGTCTAACCCTGAATAACTCCCAAAGGCCCATCTCCAAATACCATCACATGAGGAGTTAGGGCTTCAACACAGGAACTGGGGGGGACACACATTCAGTCTATCAGAGCCCCCCCATCAGCCCCACTGTGCCCGTGTGGGGGCAGATTGTAGGGCTCAGGCGGGACACAGAGGTGGAGGAAGCACAGGTTCTGCCTCTTGGAAATGGCTCAGCCAAAACAAGGACAGGGACAGTGGGGCAGAAAACAGCTAGTGAGGTAACCAGCAGAAGCCCCGAGGTGTCACTAAGCCAAGGTATCATTTTCACCCTTAAGTGAGGAAGTTGGCTGAGCACCCACACACACCAGAGTACCGACCACGTTCCCTTCAAACACGGCTCACTTAACATTCCTAAGCCCTGCAAAGGGGAGGTGTTACCTCGTCTCCTGAGGATGGCCCTGAATGTAGAGGAGTCACGGGAGCTGCCTGCATCACCCACCAGTGACTCTTCACTCCCCACGTTTTCCCCGAGGGCCTGATGTGCACTGAGCTGGGGAAGCCCTGCCAAGATAAACTCTCCTTCCCAAAGGCCACGGAGGACGGAAGGCCTCCGACACTGCCCACATCGAGCAGAAGGGACAGGGCAGAGAGGCATCTGTCCGGCTGACTGCTGTGCTCTGTGGGCAGATGGGGTCGCCCAAACACGGCTCCCCTTGTCACTTGGCAGAGGGGCCAGGCCACCATATACCAGACAGCTTTGCCCCACCAGCTTCTGCTGCTGGGCCAGCGCCCGGCACCGTGAGCACAGCTCTGCATGCAGGCAGTGCTGGGACTTGTGCTCTGGCAGTCATAGCGGTCCTGAGCCAACAAGGGCCCTGGGGAGGAATTGGAACTCAGACCGTGGACAAGAAGGTATTGGCCAGGAGGGAACCAGGGCAGGTGCCAGGTCCTGTCCATGCTGGGATCTGAGATTCTAAGAGGTGGGTTAGGGGTAAGGGGACAGAGGTCGGCCACATGGGGTGAGGGGAGTTCATCAGAGATGGGGAGGACAGGACAACCTGGGAAAGAGCAGAGCGTCCTCCCTAGCCTCAGTCTCTCTCCTGATGCAGTCCTCATCTCGCTCGTAGACTCCGGAAGTCTCCCTTCGGCGAACACCTGGCCCCCGACTCCCAGGGCACTTCCCGAACAGCCAGTGCCACATCCCAGGCAGCCCCTGCTCTGCCCTTGGGGTCTGTGCCTGGCAGAAGGGTGGCTGACCCTTGGCCCCCCCTGGCCTGGGCCCCAGCTCCTCCTGGCCCTGGGACCAGCAGACACACCCACTCTGCGCCTGGCGGGCTGGTCATGCTTGTTCCCGTTGGTGATGGTGTGTTGGGAGGGAACTGTTTTAGATACCAATGTAAATCTCTGTCTACATCAATTCCACACGAGTTCAGTCATCATATGGGAAGGGAATCATAGCTGTGGGGGGCTCCATGCAGGACCCCGAGGGCCCCTGAGGCCAGTCTCTGTGGCCACAGCAAGGAGCATCTGCTTCAGCTAGTTGGACAAGACTCTCTCCTGCCCAGAAACAGGCAGAGGGACTTCCCCTGCTCCGCGCCTCTCATATCCCACACACCCGTGTGGACGGACACCTCAACGTCTCCCCTCAGCCCAGAGCCCACGGTCTTCCTGATAAGGGTTAAGCAGGAGCGGCCCCCTCTTCCCATGTCCATGTTGTAGGCAGCTGCCTTCTCCTCAGCTCCCACCGAGCAGAACAAGAGCCAGCCAGCTCTCTCTATCCCAGGATTTTCCAGGGATACTGATAACGATGGGAGGCCCCGAGAAGCCTCCCTAAAGCAGGTGGGGTCTTGTGAGTGGGTCGTGGGAGGGATCAGGGCTTTCCTCAGCATCTGTCAGTCCCCGGAGCATCTAAAGGGGCCCCCTATACCAGGAGGAAAAAGTGGAGCCAGCTCCTGTGGGTTCCCAGTGCCTGGCATCTCCTGGTTCCCTCTGCCCTCCTTCACAGACACCCTCCACGGAGCAGCACAGCGCCAAGGACAGAGGCAGCAGCCCCAGAGCATTTTCCAACACAACTACATTTATTCCATTTACACATGAGGCCCCCAAGGGCTTCCCACCCCCTAGCCCCCTCCCCGCAGGCCCTCCCTTCCCGCCCTCCCTGTTCAGCCACCCTCTCCCTCCCCTCCCTCCTCCACCCTCCAAAGCTAAGGCCCAGCAAGATCAGCACTGGGGGAGAAGCAGCCTTTGCTTTGGGGCACCTGCTGCCATGAGGGTCCGAGAGTTCCGAGCCCCACCCTTGGGGACTGGCACCAGAGAGCCTGCCCCGCAGCGGCCCCTACTGGCTACAATGCCGCTTTTTCTTCCTCCTGGAGACCAAGGGGCCACCCCTTCTCTTTTGAGACTGTGAGGGGCCACCCAGCCCTGGAGCCAGGGATTGCTCCCCAGAGACCCTGAGCCCAGGCCCTGGGTCGGGCATCTTTTCAGCAGGGGATGGGCTTCCGAAGAGAAGTCGCTTCTTGGACTTGGTAACAGGAGAGGGTGCTGGGCTGAGGCCTCTTCTCTGAGCAGATGGCGACTGAAGAGCTCCCTGGGGTCCCCGCCCTCCCGGGCTGAGAAGGCCTGAGGAAGGGACAGGGCTCTGGGATAGCCTCCAGGGCCGCAGCCTGTGGTGGGAACCCACGACATACACCATGCCAGGGAGTTCCCTCTCCTCACTTGACCCCTTAGCCAGCCTGTGTGACTCCTTAACAGGAGAGGCTCCGGGGAGATCCAAGGTGTCCTTGGTTCCCAGGCTGGGGCAGGTGGGTCTGTGGTCCTCGAGAGGAGAGGTTGGCTGGGCAGCCCTCAGCCCAGGGCAATCCTGACATCCCAAAAGCACCGCAGGGTCTTTGGACCTGGCCATGCCGGTGCACACTCTAGCCTGTCCCTGAGGGACCTGGGCAGCCGTCTGGGGTGGGCAGGTTTCCATGCCGGTCCCTTGTTGGGGGTCAGGGGCGTCTCTCTCTGCTCCTTGGCGAGCTGCAAACTTAGAAGGACTTGAGTCCAAACAGGCCGTGCCATGACTAGGGGCTGCCCTCACACGCCGTTTCTCCTTCAAGGATAGGAGGCGCTTCTCCACTAGCTGTGGGAGGAAAGAGGCACTTACTGGCGCTGCCCCAGGTGTGAGCAGGGCCCAGGGTGGTGGAGACCAGGGCACTTGGGCGGGAGACAGGGAAGTCTGAGGCATCTGGGCTTCGTGTCAAAGGGAGAGGGTGTGGCTCTGCCGGGCATCCCGTGGGGCCTCATTGCAGCTTGCATCCTGACTCCCCTCCCTGGCTCCTCTCCGTCCCACTCCCTCTGAACCTGCATCTTCCCACCCCAGAGTGACTCCCCAAGAAGCTGAGCATCCCCAGCAGGATGGGGTTAGACAATCAGGTGGGCCTTGTGTGCCGTGTCCCTCCTGCCTCTGGGTTCCCCTCCCTCCGCTGGTCTACCTGGGCAAGTGTGAGTTCTTCCTCCTTCTCCAGCTCCTGGCTTAGGGCCAATAAATCCATCTGTGGATCTGGGGAAAGCAGTTCTTCCAGGAATGGGGAGTGAATGACGGCCTCCACCTGGAAACAGAAGGAAGAAGACATGAGCTTCCTGGGCAGGGAGTAACCCGGAGCCAAGGACACCCAGAAGAGATGCAGAAAGCTGCAAGCGCCTCGTCCCCACCCTCGTGGGGCTGTCTCATATCATGGCGACCACCAGCTACACACACAGACCACAGACCTGGTGGCATACACACATACAGACAGAGACACACAAACCACACATAGACACACAAACAGATCCATATATGACACAGGAAAAGACACAGACACAAGGAACACACGTGCCACATTCACACCCACACAGACACACAGTAACAAATCACAGACACAAACACACGGCAACACATAGACACACGCAATCACATACACAGACACTCAAATCCACAGGAACACACCACCCACCCCCCTGCTGAGTAGCTAAGGAACAGAGCTTAATTCCAAGGGCCTGGGAGTGCCACCCCCTGGAATCCTGCAGATCCCAGCACTCCAGGCCAGCCCACCTTGGTGACAAAGTCTTCCTGGGAACACAGCTTGTCAATGTAGCTCAGGAGGCCCGGGTCTGGGGGCGTCCAATCCTCTTCCTGTGGCTGCTCCACTTCGCCATCTTCACATTGTCCCTCAGGCTCCCCTGTGACCCCAAGGTGAGACCCCAGCAGCTCCTCCATGATGTCCACATACTCCTGCACCACTGCAGGGGGGATCTCCTCAGGGACCTTGGTCTCTGCTGGCTGCTGGGGCCTGGGTGGTGGCAGGCGGGCCTTGGTCTCTGCTGGTTGCTGGGGCCTGGGTGGTGGCAGGCAGGCAGGCGGGGCCTTGGGGCCAGCCTTGCTGGGAAGGTACACTGAGGCAGAAAGGGAGGAGGCCGGGCGTGGTGAGGGCCGCTCCTCCTGCCTGCACCACACAGGGGAGGGCAGGGTTTGGAGATGTGAAGTGGGTCCCGGCTGGGTCAGGACCACCTGAACCACAGCGCCCTTGGAGGAGACACGCAGGAGGGGCACATCTGAGACAGCATCGCTTGGGAGGAAGTTTGGAGCCAACGATATGCCATGTACTCTCCCCGCTCATCCCTGCTTCCTGGGTAGAGCATATGTGGAGTTTTGGACGGGCGAGGGGAGAGAGTAAGTAGGAAACCTGACCAAGTCAATACCCCGCTTCGTGATCACAGGCCGCCCACGAAGTAGGTATTGACCAGGTCAGTACCCAACATACACTCCCAGAAGCTGTCCTGTTGGGGAGCAAACCCCCCTCTTGAAGGGAAGCATGGGGTGTGGGGACAGTGGCCTCCCTTGGCCCCTTTAGCCTTTGACATGGCTCCTATGGGAATGTGGGAAGCTGTACCTGGCTGCTTGGCCACCTCAGGGGCCGGGGATCCTTGAGGTTCAAGCCTCGGCGGGGCTGGAGGAGGCAGGCTCTGGGTCTCCTTCATCCACTGTGCTTTCTGCATCTGCATCTCCTCCTCAGCCTCGAACTCCAGGAACCTGGGGGTGAAGGAGGCCCAGGCTGTGCGGAGAGGGTCCAGGCCCCCTGTCCCCAGGACCAGGCAGTGGCCGAGGGCAGGGATGTGAGGGACTGCCTTGGGTGGGCTGTCCAGGCCCTCACTGGGTCTCATCCCCCAGTCCCAGGAGGGAGCTGCTCCCAGAGTTCTGGGCTCACCCTCCCTCACCCGGCCCCTGCAGAGCCCATGGCATCAAAGGGGCTTCCTGACTCAAGTCAGGGCCACGAGGCCCAGGAGGGTCCCAGGGGACCCCTCCTCCAGGTTTCAGCTGCCCAGGGGTGGGGTTGATGGCAGAAGGCGTCAGGGATGATGCCCAGATGCAGGAGTCCTGAGGCTGGGACTGCGGGTCCCTGAAAGATAATCCAGGGGCACGAGGCCCGGGAGACCCCTGGTCGGGAGGAAGCAAAAGCTGAGCCCGGAGGACAGGGCCCCTTTCCCCTGAGGCTGCTGTCTGTCTGTCTGTCTTCACGGAGGGCACTGCCCAGGAGCAAAGGCGGTCAGGCCAGAGATGGGTCTCTGCCAGATGGGCGCAGGTCTCCTCTGACCCAACTCCCTGGCCAGGCTGGGATGGCAGAAAAACGACTTCTGGCCACTGCTGTGAGGAGCCTGCACCCCACTCTGTCTATAGTCACTAGCGCCCCTTCTCCCCATCCCCACAGCTGGAGGTGACCCCCTCTGGGCTGTGACGCTGGCTGCTCCCACCATGACCTCCAGTGTCAAGGCAGGGGTTGGCCCCAGGCCAGGCAGGGGATGCTTCCCAAGAGGGCAGGACAGAGACCCCAGAGCACTCTAGGTGGCAGGAGCAGCTTCCTGAAGGAGCCAGGGGCCCAGGGCGTCCTGTGTTTGTCCACACCCTCCTCATGCTCCACACTGAGAAGCCACCGCGGCCACCAGGCCTCCGTCATTCAGTCTCACTCTGCCCTGCGGGCCCTGCCCCCAGGACCCCAGTCTCACTTTTCCGCCATCTCGTAGAAGATCATCCGGTCAAAGGTGCTCGTGTGCTGCCATTCGCGCACGGCCCGCCACAGTCCCTCCTCCAGCGTCACGGTGGGCTTCCGCCGGGCCACGGATCGGAGAACTGGGCTGTAAACCAGTGCAGTCAGCCCCAGTCTATAAGCCCACCCTTCATCCCGAGCCCACCTGGTCCCAACACCTGGCCCCTGTCCTCCCCACACCTGTCCTGCCATCTGTCCACGTCCTGTTCTCCCCTACGTGGGCTCCTCAGGCCCCAGGACACACCCCCAAGATCGAACATCAACACAAGCTACGGAGTGGCCTCTCCGACTGCCCCTCAAGTCCTCGGTGTTCTGATGTTGAGAAGTGAACTCAGTACTATGGGTGGAACATATGTGTCCCCAACATTCCTGTGCTGAAGCCCTGAGCGCCGGCGTGTCGGTATTTGGAGGCAATCATGGTTAGAGCAGGTCATGAGCGTGGGTCCCAGTCATGGAATCTGAGCCCCGATAAGGGCAGGAGGAGATGCCAGGGCTTTTCCTCTCAGCCACAAGAGGACACAGCCAGAGGCAGCTTTCTCCAGCCAGGAAAAGGGCTCTGACCAGACACCCAATCTGCTGTCACCTTGATCTGGGACTTGTGGCCTCTGGAACTGGGAGACATGAATGTGTCTTGATAAAGCACCCAGTCTATGGGATTTGTTACGGCAGAGCCTGAGCTGACTGAGACAGCGTGCACACAGAATGACCTGGGAGCGAGGGTTAAAGTGCAGGTTCTAGGGCCCCAGGACTGAGCATTTCACCAGCTTCCTGGGGACTCTGGAGTAAGGCAGCCCCTGGGGGTGTAGCCTCAGGGTCCTGGAGCATGAGAAGCAGGAGCACATGTCCAGAACCAAAGCAGAGCGGTGTCAAGCCCACTGCAAGCAGCCAGGTACAGCTTCCCACATTCCCACAGGAGACATGGCAAAGGCCTGTGAGCCTGGGGCAGCTCCACTCCAAGAATCAGGGTCCCCAGTGCACTGGGACTCTGCTCCAAAGGGGAATGCGAGCAGTTCCAGGGTGCGGGGCCAGCGAGATTGTTGGGGAGGAAGATGGGACTGTGTTCTACCTACACCCCAGGCAGGGGACTTCCCAAGGGGAGCGGCCAGTGTGTTGCAGGGTGGATGTGCTGCAAGCTCCCGTTTGCTCATCAATGGGAAACACAGGGTCACAGAGGCGCCACAGGGTGGAGAGAGGCAAGGACTGGGAATGAAACCACAAACTCTCTCAGATGCTGACGTTGCTGCCTCACAGTCACCATAGTCCACGGCCCTGGGCTACTGGGCTCGTGGTGTATTCAGAGCTATCACTGGAGCCTGTGGCTTTGGGGAGCACTCTCCTAGATGGCCTAGTCCTGATAATGATAGTAAAGGGGACAGTAATCATAATTGCTGTCATGTAATGTGTTATAGCATGTGCCAGGCACTATGCTATGCATGTCATATGTGAGCTCAAGTCATCTGTTCGCCATTCTCTGAATGAAGCATCATTGTCCTTTTTTCTAGGGAGGATTGAGGGTGAAGATGCAAATACCTGCCCAGCATCGACCCTAGTGCGGGGCCCAAGACCATCCCCCTGTGCAGACTCCACCACCGCGGTGCTCACTGGACCTCACTGGCAGAACTGCGGGCGTATGCCAGGTTCCCGCCGGGCCCTGCAACTCCTCCCCCCAGCCCCATGTGATGTGCCCCTGGCCATCGACACTCAATTCGAGGGAAGGCACTGGGGTGTACACTCAAAGACCTAAACCCAGGACGGGTGTGGTGGCTCACACTTGCAATCCCAGCACTTTGAGAGGCTGAGGCGGGTGGATCATGAGGTCAGGAGCTCAACACCAGCCTGGCCAACATAGTGAAACCCTGTCTCTACTAAAAAATACGAAAAATTAGCTGGGCATGGTGGAAGGCACTTGTAATCCCAGGTACTCGGGAGGCTGAAGGAGGAGAATCACTTGAACCCAGGAGGTGGAGGTTGTGGTGAGCCAAGATTGCACCATCGCACTCCAGCCCAGGTGACAGTGCGAGACTCCATCTCAAACAAACAAAAAAGACCTAAACTCAAACCGTGGCGCACGTCGCACCAAGAACCCTCTCTGACCTGGGTCTTCGTAAACGTTGCTGTGAAAATTATTGAAAGTAAAAGCCGGGCGCAGTGGCTCACGCCTGTAATCCCAGCACTTTGGGAGGCCGAGGCGGGTGGATCACCAGGTCAGGAGATTGAGAGCATCCTGGCTAACACGGTGAAACCCCGTTTCTAGTAAAAATACGCAAAAATTAGCCGGCCGTGGTGGCACATGCCTGTAATCCCAACTATTCAGGAAGCTGAGGCAGCAGAATTGCTTGAACCCGGGAGGCGGAGGTTGTGGTTAGCCGAGGTCACGCCATTGCACTCCAGCCTGGGCTACAAGAGCGAAAGTCTGGCTCAAAAAAAAAGTAAGGATTGGCTGGACTCACGGGATAGTGACGGGCAGTTGACATGAGGCCCCTGACAGTCTGTCCTGAGCCACAGCCAGATGAATGTTGCTGAAAATGTACCTTCCCATAGCACAACTGATCACCCTCACAACCACCCCGCAAGCTCCCCTGAACAGCGTGACCTCCTGTCCATTCGGCAGCCTCTGTATGTGTGAGCTGCAGGACGAGCTCTGGTGCCCCGAGGACACTCACATGAGGAAGCAGGAAAGCGCTTCGGTGTCAGGACTCTGGGGAAGGTGCCTCCGGGCCAGGGGCTTGTAGCGCTGCCAGAGTCGGAAGTTCTCATAGACACTCTTGGGGTTACAGGAGTTGTCCGGCGGGGCCTTGGCCTGGGAGGGAGCCAGGCTGCCCTCTCCATGAGCCCCTTCCGGCCATGGCCCAGCGTGGGACACGATGGGGGGCATCTGGGCAGCCGGTGGTGGTGGTGGAATAGGAAGGCCCTGGGACCAGCCTCCCTCACAGGCCTGGGCGCTCCCAACCACCTGGGCAGATGTAATGGGCACCCCAGGAGCAGCTGCCAGGAGTAGGGGAGGTGGACACACGACACCTCCGCAGAGGGCGCCTGGAACCTGCCAGACGAGGGGGTCCTGAGTTAGGACCAAGGTCTGTGCCTGAGGGGGCTTCACAGGCCCCACTTCTGTCTTCATCTGGACAAAGACGTTGGAAGCCCCGGCCCCACTTGGGCTGCGGCCATCCTGTCCTGCCACCAGAGGTGTGCTGGGGAAGGCAGACAGCACCAGAGGGCCACCTGGAGGAACCACTGCAGTCACGAGGGGTGGCCCATGTGCTGGGCCGGGAGCGGGTGTGGCGAAGGGCAGAGCTGTGAACACAGACAGGGAGGCGCCAGGGTTCACGGTCATGCCCGGTCCCACCACTGGGTATGCTGTGGAGACAAAAGAAAGAGATGAATGAGCTGGGGTCTCCTGGTCCTCACTAGTCACTGGAGAATCAGAGGGGAGCCCCAACAGCTGAGGGCGTGTGACAGGGAAACTCTGCCGCTTGCAAGTGTCCCTGAGTGTGCATGGGATGCTCTGTTCCTTCACGAAAGGGTTGCTCCACTAGAGAGCCGGGCCCCGGTCACCAAGACTCCCTGACCCCTGTCCCCCAAGAAGCAACAGCTAAGCCTTTGCTGCCCGAGGGTCTCCCTGGGGTGTCCCTGGCAGACCCTGTCAGCCTCACAGGATCTCCCAAGCCATGGGTCAGGGATGAGTCTCTCAGCGGCTTGGTGGTCCTCAGCGTGCTCAGCAACAGGAGACAGGCCTACCCCAGGGCAGTGCTTGGCACTGAGAAGGCCGACAGGAAGCCAGAAGCTTCTGAATATTATGGCCCTATCTCCTCTTCAGTCTTCCTTTTCCTGAAGCTCCTGTAAACTCCTTTCCTAGCTCAACACCACAAAAGAAAACCACTGGATAGGCTGGGCATGCTGATTCATGCCTGCAATCCCAGCACTGTGGGAAGCCGAGGTGGGCGGATCACCTGAGGTCAGGAGTTCAAGACTAGCCTGGCCAACATGGTGAAACCCCGTCTCTACTAAAATACAAAAATTAGCTGATGGCGCATGCCTGTAATCCCAGCTACTCAGGAGACTGAAGCAGGAGAATTGCTTGAACCCAGGAGGCAGAGGCTGCAGTGAGCCAAGATCGCGCTACTTCATTCCAGTCTGGGTGACAGAGCGAGACTCCGTCTCAAAAAAAAAAAAAAGAAAAGAAAAAAGAAAACCACTGGATGGAAATCTCACCCAAGCCAGTGCCCTAGGAACCCCGAAGATAAACCATAACACATCATGCCCAGCATGCAAATGATTGTCCTGGCACCACCCACACAAGTGCTAAATGGGGGTCAGATTCCAGCCACCCGTTCCTCAGTGCTCAGTGGTCCCAGCTGCCACTCAGGAAGCTCTGTTCCCAGGGAGCATGTCTGAGAGGCAGTGGTGGAGTCCCCTGAGATACTGTCACCGCACAGCCAGCAACAGCTGCACACGATTAGAACTCAGCCAGCAAATGGTGAGCAGCAGGGCTATCAGGGGAGGTGCCCAGGGATTTTCACAGCTGCTGGTCATGTTACAACAGGTAGTGCGACAAGAAGCATCTCTGATCCTTCTCCTTTGAGCTCCCAATAACTGAACATAGTGACCAACCAAGAACCAGGGGTTCCTGGCCCACGGGCCAGGTGAGGCAAAGTTGTCTGGAACTCATCCCTGCCCACTAGGACCCCATGCAGTCTCTAGTCAGGGGGAATAAGGGATACAGCACATGCACCTCATCATTCAGGATGCACATCCTAACTTGAATAATAATATAAGAGAACCATCTTCCTATTTGTGCGCTACTCTCCTTTCTCTACTGAAAAGGAAACCAGCCTTTCCAAACCCTTCCACTGAGAACCAGCAAGAATCCACACCTGTCCCCTGTTCATGAGGTAGTATACGTGGAATGGGGCAAATTCTTCATCTCCACAGTAACACAAAGTGCAGGGGACAGGCCATGAACTAGCAGACAAGAGGAAGTGGGTCTGAAGACCTGAACTTCTACAAAAAGGCAAACAATGCAGAACAACTCAGGAAGCCCAGGCCATGTGTTACCTGAACTTCCCCATCTGCCCCCACCCCTGTTAAATCAAAGCCAACAGCTACCTCAACTGACGGAGCAGCCAGCTCTGGGGCAGGAGCTGAGAGGCTCTGGGCTGTGGCAGTTATAGTAGCCCCCAGCCTCCCCCACCCAGAGGCTGTCACTGCATACTCTGTCACAGCCAACCCACCCAACAGTTTTCTGGCTGAGATCACTTCTCCCCACTCCTCCCTCAGATCTAGAAAACTCCAGTCCAAATCCCTCTGAACACTATGGAAGGGCACCTTCCAGGTGCCTGAAGACACAACACAGGGCTCAGGCTTGCCTGTCATCCTCCCGTGGCCACCAGTACAACATGATCCCACTACTCCCTACACACACACAATGACATGAGCTGTCCCCCTCCAGAAAGGATCAATCCATCCACTCCATCCTTTCCCCTACACAGTGTATTCCCGCAGGCATCTTGGTCCACCTCTAAGGATTCGTCCTCCCTAACCACAGACTCAGGGTGCCATGGCCATCCCCAGCTGTGATGTCCTTGGGGACATCCAGTGCTCCCTCCCTCTTCAACATCAGCCCTATCAGCTGTCCCCAGGGGCAGTTCAAATTTGAATTCCCAAGGAGTTGAGGCATGGCAGACTCGGATAATGCCCCTATCCTTACAGGCTCACCTCCATTTGAAGCCATCCCCTCAGGCTAGGCACTGACCACCGCTGTCTGGCAGTTTCCACAATGAGAAAAGTCAAGGGCAGGACCCAGAGAGTGACCTGGCTCAGCAGATGCTCCTGAGTCCAAGTGGAGCAGGGAAAATTTGAATGTAAATAGCTTTGGAACATAGGACCCCAGACATTCTGCAGAGGGGGAGGGGCGGTGGGCAGCTGGGCTTGGCAAGGGTGGGGGACATTCTGTGAAGAGCTCTGGCCAGTAGGCAAGAACCTGAGTTTCCCTTCCAACTGGATGGCAGCAACACAGACGGTGTGGGCCCCTTTAGGCAACTTTTAAATTGTCCTTCTGACTCACAGCGAAAACTTGTACCTGATGTCCCCTTTACTTCATTGTTTATCAACAGACCTACTTTTGTGCCATTCAACTCATGCTCCTTCCCACTTTGGCTCTTTCCCACTCTTGATGAATTTCAACAGGGACTGCGCTTCCCGAACAAAATTCAGAACACATTTTCAGTCTGAGAAACACAGGGGTTCTTAGGAAGGCAAGGGGACTGGGTGTTTGAAATCAGGATGGTCTCAGCCCATCCAGGCTATTAGGTGGCTGTGCGCTCATCATTGTTTACAAGGCAGTCCTTGTGCCCCCGGGTCATGTATGTTGCTGGAATCTCTGTCCACAGCAGCGGGCAGGCCTTACTTCCCATCGCCTTTCCTGGGAAGCCTCAGTCCAGGAAAGAGTGGCTATGCGACCTACAGCACCGAGACCAGAAATCCTTTCATTTTGTTTCCCAGCGTATTGTGCTGGTGTTAAATGTTTATTTTTTATCTTTTACATGATTTTAACTCAACTAAGCAATACTTTTGCATGGTTCCAGATTCAAACTGTGCACAGTGGAATAGGCAGTGACCAGTCTTCCTCCCACCTCTTTTCTCTGGCCACCACATTTTCTTTCCTGGACCAAACAGGTGTTATCTGATTCTTTTTCATCTTTCCAGAGATATATTATGCAATCAAAAGCATAATAAAGCTATTTTTGCTGTCTAAAAATATTTTGGTTTTTTGGGTAAAAATTAATATATATGTTCCAGTATTCTTCTGATACTTGCAGTGACCATGTTTGTCCCAGTAATGTGGTACCTGCCTTTATTTCTGTAGGTAAATTGCTAGAACGAGATGTTGCTGTTTTTTAAAATTAAAAATACATGAAAGAACATAGTGGCCAGATTGAGCAAGTATGAATAAAGAATACCAAGTGGAATTTGAATTGAAGATAAACAGCGAATTCGTTTTTACTGTAAGTATGACCCGTATGATATTTAGAGTCTACTTTTACCAAAAAAATCTGTTCTTTATCTGTGTCATTCACATTTCACTGGGATCTTGCACTTTATCTGGTAATTCTTCCCAAAAAAGTATAACATATTAGGCAATTATTGTTTTTATTTTATTTTTTATTTTATTTTTTGAGATAGAGTCTCACTCTGTCGCCCAGGCTGGAGTGCAGTGGCGCAATCTCAGCTCACTGCAAGCTCCACCTCCTGGGTTCACACCATTCTCCTGCCTCAGACTCCCAAGTAGCTGGGACTACAGGCGGCCGCCACCGTGGCTGGGCTAATTTTTTGTATTTTTAGTAGAGACGGGGTTTCACCGTGTTAGCCAGGATGAGTCTGGATCTCCTGACCCTGTGATCCGCCTGCCTTGGCCTCCCAAAGTGCTGGGATTACAGGCGTGAGCCACCGCGCCCGGCCTAGGCAATTATTGTTAACTCTCCACTGTGAAAGTGAGAACTTGCAGTAAGGAGACTCAAGTGTGAATCTTGGCTGCACCGCAAAAAGATTCTGCACCACAACCATTGCAGAAAACAACAGCAGGCTGATTTGATGAGACGAAGTCAGGAGTAGCCATTATATCCTTCTCAGCTTCCAGGTTTAGTGGCAGTACGCAGTTTTAAGGGACAGGAGGGCAGAGCACCGTCTTTTTCTTTCCTAACATAAAGCAGCTTACAATTCCTAGAACTCCGGTTTCTCCAGGAGTTAGAAATTCACTACCCATGTCCATTCTGAGACAAGCGAGGATGCTGTCCACCAATGTCCCATCCCCATTCCCATGCATCCCCTCGCACGTGTGAATCCTGGCTGGCCTCTCTCAGCTCACTGTTGGCCTCATCTTCACCACAAGTGTCATTGCATGTGGTTCTGTGTGGGAATTATTGTAGCCTGTCTTTAAAAAAAACTTCATTCTCATTTTCACACCGAGAATTGCTGCTTATCAGCGTCAAAATGACAGGAAAGAGCACTCATGTTCTGTGCTGTGAACAAGGGGAGTTTTAGGAAACTGGTCAAAGGAGATGAGGAGTACTCAGAGTACAGCAACAAAATCTGAGACACACACGTCACTCCCTGCTGGGCAGGGTAATTTTGCACTGATGGGAGGGTGTTGGGGAAGGGAAGAGGCCGTCAGCCGGACTGGTGCACACTGTGAACATTCACTGAAACACACCCTGTTGGCACTTACGAAGCATTTGCCCCTTTCGAAGACATTTGGACTTAAGAAGGCAGAGTTGCAAGAAAATGTAACGGGCCACACCACAGGGGAAGGCGGTGGATTGCAAGTCTCAAGCCCAGGGTTCTCCCCTCCTCGCTCCAGTTGTGTGAAAAAGTCATTTCCTAACTCCTGTCCAATATCCTCTGAGTTCTCGATTTTGTCCCAACTCTAAACCTGAATGGTCCAGCGAGCATTTCTATAAAATGCCTCCACAGTGGCCACTGGGAGGGGAGTGACCTCCACGCAGTGACTGCCTGTCTGGGTGTTCCCAGGCCTTCTGTCCTGTGAGACAGAGCTGCCTTCTTACATGCAGCCCTCTTCTGCTGTGCAACTCTACCTCGATCTTAGCTGAGAAGATCAACAGAGAGCAATTCAAGCAAAATCATAGTAAACTTACCAAAACAAAACAAAAAACAACCATTTTGGAGACCTTTCTGAGGACTTGAGCTTTTATCATGGGACAAACATAAATGATTTTCAATCAGTAACTTCATCTAAGAGGGCTGTTGAGGCAAAATATCACACTCAGGCACTGAAGAAGGGCAGAATTCTTGGTTGCTTCCTCCCTTGTCAAGTCAGTGAGCCGATGCTTTCTCAAGATTCTCACACACGACTTTGATACAGGATTTCAATGAGTCTTTTTCTGAGCCACTGATACAAAAAGCATACTGTGGAACAGTGTCTTGTCTCAATTCTGCAATCGCTTCTGTACATGTTTGAAGTCCCAGACCCCAGGAGGAGAGACAATCAAATTAGCCAAAGGTAATTTGTGAAGACTGGCCATGGGAGGTGGTGGCTAAAAGCCCTCTGGCCCCTGCTCTCTGAGCATGCCCACACAATGTCCTGGGCCACACTGACTGCTGAGAAAGAACATCTCAGGGCTTGGATCCCCTATTCAGAGGACACATGCTCTTCCACCCAGTCACGGAACAGTAGAGGAATGGCGGCTCCATGCTGTGTCTTGCAGAGCTCTCAGTCTCTGCACTTAAGGCTCCAGGTCGGCCTGGATGTGAAGGCTCTTCAGTGTCATTACGTGGATGACAGACAATAGGAATCCTGCAAATGGGCAGAAAAGGTCTGATGATGAAAGTTTCTTCTGAAGCTATCACAAACTCAAGTCAGTGAGTTGCTTACTAGCTTTTTTTTTTGTTTTTTTGGTTTTTTTTGGTTTTGTTTTTTATTTTTTTGAGACGGAGTCTTGCTCCGGCCTTGAAGTGCAGTGGTGTGATCTTCTCTCACTGCAGCCTCCGCCTCCCGGGTTCACGCAATTCTTCTGCCTCAGCCTCCCCAATAGCTGGGACTACAAGTGTGCGCCACCACGCCCGGCTAATTTTTGTATTTTTGGTGGGGACGGGATTGCACCATGTTGGCCAGGCTGGTCTCGAACTCCTGACCTCAGGTGATCCACCCACCTCGGCCTCCCAAAGTGCTGGGATTACAGGTGTGAGCCACCGCGCCCGGTCAGACGCGCTCGTTTCTAGGAGGGACGGTCTTGGAGGTTCCAAGGAGAAGGCGTCGCCTGGTCCCAGGAAGCGCCCGGGTGCCGCGTCCCTCCATTTCCCCATCTCCTGCGGGCCCCTCCCAGGGCGGGCTCCAGGCCTGTCCCGTGCGCCTGCGCACGAGCCTCGAGGTGGGCGGGGTTCCAGCGCGCAGCTGGCCGCCTTCAACCGCTCGCTCCCAGCATCAGTTGCCGGTGGTTCGGGGCAGGGAGATGGCGCAGCGCGAGCAGAAAGGGCGGTTACCCAACGGCCTTCGCTCTCATGGCGTCCTCCGTGGTGTTACCTAAAAATAAAGTTATTAGTGATTAGAAGGTAATCGCCTCCTGGTCATGCTTCCACTGGTCACCACTGTCTGCGGGGCGACCCCATCCTTGTGGCCAGGGCAGGCCTGTGGCTGCGCTCAAGGCGGGAGCGTTCCTTAGCGGGGGCTCTGTGGGACGCCCAGGCCCTGCTCCTTTCCCATGCTCGCCTGGCCTTGAAGTGAAGGGGGAAATATAGCAATGCAGTGGGAACCCCAAAGTTTGTCTCGGCGGTGCCGGTCACATTCCAAACAATGCAAAACCTTGAGGAAAACCTCAGCAGTTGAAACGTGTTGCAGTTCAGCAAAGAAGTAGCTCCTGTCCTCGTAAAATCAGTGAAGTTCTCACGGACGACCTCATTTGAGTGAGTTGTCAAGCTTGTTGACTTAATCAGAATGATCAGCCAGCAATGCATGTTCCAATACGCTCATTTGCCAATGATATGAGCAGCTGCAAAGTGGAAGAACAGGCCTTTAGTCATAGTCTGTTGACTTGGTAGCACAAGTTGGTTGTGGATGCAAGAGTGTGGCCAAAGTCAAGAAAAGCTTCTATGAGAATCGCTTACTTATGTGGAATTTACAATAATAAGTAGTGTATATCATTATTTGTAAATTGTAGACTACACATGTATTATATCTAAAATTTACTGCACACACGTGTGTGTCTTCTTGGGCAGTTGGGTCAGTGTGTGTACTTGAAAATGTGAGAAAGATTTGTTTTGCATTTTGGGGGTTGTGAGATTTGTGGGGGTGGCTGTGTGTATGTGAAAATGTGTTTATATGAATTCTTAGTTTGGAATTTGATATGTATTTAATTGGCGAGAATCTAATATGGATTCACCTGTGTGGGTTGGTGGTGTCTGTGTGGAGATTGCAGATTAAAGAAGGTCATAATTGGGCTGGGCACGGTGGCTCACGCCTGTAATCCCAGCACTTTGGGAGGCTGAGGTGGGCAGATCACCTGAGGTCAGGAGTTCAAGACCAGCCTGGCCAACTTGGAGAAACTCCTTTTGTACTAAAAATACAAAAGTTAGCCAGGCGTGGTGGTGCGCACTTGTAGTTCCAGCTACTCAGGAGGCTGAGGCAGGAGAATTGCTTGAACCCGGGAGGTGCAGGCTGCAGTGA